GACCAGATTTGCTGGTCTAATAGAGCCTGGTGGAACCACTGAGACTATGGCCCTAGTTGCCCTTCAGGTCTAGAATTGAACCCACACCTGTGGTTTCCAGGCTAACAAAAGACAGGCATATTAGCTGAATATTTACCTGAGGTATATACACTCCTTGGAGAGAACAATCATGGGAGAAAGAAGGGCTGTTTATGTACAGGGAGACAGCTCAGGGGGCAGGAGTCCATGGAGGGATGGACACAAGGAAGAGGTAACTATGGGGAAGAAGTGGGAGGGGAGCTGTTGCATTGGTGTAAATTGTAGTCAATATCAAGAGACAAAGTGTATGTGAACTGCTATAAGGAAAGTGAATTTGCTCTGTAAACTTTCACTCAAATCACAATTAAAAACAAAAAACAAAATCCTCTCATTCATGAAATCTTCCTAAGCAAATGCTCCCTCATTATTTTAGTAACTTCAATAAACTTTCAACTCTCATTATGTAACAAGGATTCAAAAAATTCCCACAGAAAATCACTTAACCATCATGAAAATGTATCCACCGTGCACATAGCTACCAAATTAATTATCATTAAAATGTTATTTTGAACAGATTCTTTTTCTGCTCAAACCTTTTTTTCACTGGCTGTTTGACAAAGTCCAAACTCTTCCATTGAACATCCAAATCTCTAAATTCTGCTCTCCATCTTTCAAAGCTTGTGTCTACTTCTTTTCTGCATAAAACTCTTGTTACATTCAAAGCCATATCCTCCTGCCCAGACATACTTTGTCCTTTTTCTTGAAGACTTTGCCCACCTTGGCTACTCAACATGGCCACCACCATCCTGTCATTATTTACTTTTATTTCTTTACTATTTTCTTTAATATATAATGATATAAACTTGTGGTCTAGCTATGTTTAAACTCCTTTAAGGTAAGAACAAAATCTTATGCTTCTTCATGTTTTTCTCAAAGCCTAGCATGGTGCTTGACATTGATTGGTTGACTGCTCAATATATAAGGACAAAAGAAGTAGTAGTCCCTCAAGTTAATGTACAAAGGCCCACAGTAAGCACTCTCAAAGTGTTAGCTCATTAGTGATGATGACATGGTGATATCTTTAAATGTAGTAGTAGTTCCTAGAGCTATACCCTTGATATTCCAATAGCTTCAAGAGTTTAAGGATAGCTGATGAAAAGAAAGATCTTACCTCCAGATTCAAGGGTATATTCAGACCACAAAATAGTTCCAGGTGCAGCTGGATTTTCCTACCCCCTAAAATACATTCCCACCCCATCCCCACATAAACACCCAAGCCAAAGAATTCTTAACTGACTTTCTATCCATTCCCCCAATGCTGTCTGTTTTAAACAGTTAAAATCAGCAAGAATGAACCAGATCAAGGTATCCTCTGGTAGACTTTTCCTAGATGATAAATCACTAATATGGTGACTTTAAGCACGCTAATTGTGAACAGAGGTTACCTGAAACTGATACTTACATCTTCATAAGACAGACTGCTTCTTCGTCCACCAGGGTAACCTTTCCCCCAATTTGTATAATGAACTCCCCGCTGATCTGTCCAAAGGAACATGTGCTCTGAATTGATATCATTTAGCCCAGTCCAGGCATTAAAATTGGATCCCTGCATATTATAGGTAATAAATGCTGGAAGAAAGTTTCACAAAATCATTTTAAACTTTAGGGGAAAATACTCAAAATGTGGCAATTATCCAAAATATGTTAATTTCAAAATACTGAGCATGTCATTAATGTCTTTGTTATTGTTTAAAAGCAATTACCATGAAAACAAATACATTCTAACCTTAGCATAGTGCTACGATTTCAATTTTGGATTTTAGAAAGTTCTCACAATACATTTCTGGGTTTGTTTTTTTTTTTTTTAAATCTGCATCACTGCATATGTTGCACATATTGAGCCCTGGCCAAGGACACTGGGTCAAGGAGGGCAAAGGAAGCTGAAATTCATCCCTTACTCCACTTTCCATTTTGTGCACCTTGATCTGGGTTGTGTTTGACTACCATCTGCAGGAAGAGGTGTTTTCTTTTATTCAAAAACATTGTATGGACTAGCAGTTGTTCTGGATCTATAAATAAAATACTCTGGTTATAATAACTAACAGGGAAGCGAGCTCTTAACCCAGAAAATTTCTTTAAATAGACACTATGTGTCAAAACAAGAAATAATAGGTTGCAAAGTTATCAATATCTCAAACTGACAAACCAAAAGAGCTTCCAAATTGGGATTCCTCCTGGTGCCACCAACTCCCAGGTGCAGTGCTATGCATGCAGTGTGCTTGGGCTAGGGTACATCCTGAAGTTTAAATGCTCACGTTATTAAGTGACAAGATCTAGAGAAATGCGGAGAATATAGAGCAAATATGGCCTCCTGCTTATTTACCAATTTTATGGCAGCCTATATGGTGTCAAATATCCAGAAGCTATGTTGTTAGGTGCTATCAAGTTCATTATGACTCATAGTGACCCTATGTACGACGGAATGAAACATTTCCCCATCCTGTGTCATCCTAACGACTTCTGCTCTATTTGAGCCCATTGTTGCAACCACTGTGTCAGCTCATCTTGTTGAGGGTCTTCCTCTTTTTTGCTGACTCTTTACATGATTTCCTTCTCTAGGGACTGGTCTCTCCTGATAACATGTTTAAAGCATGTGAGATGAAATCTTGTCATCCATGCTTCTAGGGAGCATTCTGGTTGTACTTCCTCCAAGACAGATTTGTTCATTCTTCTGGCATTCCATCATATATTCAATATTCTTCACCAACATCGTAATTCATAAGCATCAACTTTTCTTTGGTCTTCTGTTCTGGTTACCTAGTGCTGCTCTGACAAGAATATGCCACAAATGGGATGGCCTTAACAAACAGGAGTTTATTCTTACAATTTGGAAGCTGTATGTCCAAGTTCAAAGTGCCAACCTCTAGGGGCTTGGTGAAAACCCCTGAGCCTTGGACTTCAGCTCTGCTTCCAGCTCCTGGCCCACTGAAGCTAGAGAGTTTCCTTCACTCACACAGCTACTGGCTGCTGAAGCTGCCAAGCGCAAGGTTGACAAGTAAAAAGGCACAGTCCCGATGTTACCAAACCACACAGTAGGTCATTCATTCAAGTCCATTGTAAGTACCAAAGTTGGGAGAGCATGGCAGGCTGCTGAACAACTACACGGCTATATGCAGAGTCCAAGCCTGCCATAAGCTAGAGACCATTCCCAAAGCTGCTTCTTATATACAGGAAGCAGACCACATACCCAAAGCAGCTACTCAGCTGCTTGTGGTAGATCCCACCATGGAGTTGATTGCCAGCCTCATCATTGGGAATAACTACCACCAGCTGCCCAGCCACTCAACGAGGCCCAGCCAAGTTGACACACAAACATAGCTACCACATCTTCCTTATTCATTGTTCAGTTTTCACATCCATATGAGATGACTGAAAATACCATGGTTTGGGTCAGGCACACCTTAGTCTTAAAATCGACATCTTTGCTTTTTAATACTTTAAAGAGGTCTTTTATGGCAAACTTGCCTAATGTAATATGTCGTTTGATTTCTCAACTGATGCTTCCAGGGGTGTTGATTATGGATCCAAGTAAAATGAAATCTTGACAACTGCAATATTGTCTCTGTTTATAATGATGTTGCTTACTGGTCAAGTTGTGAGGATTTTCGCTTCCTTTATGTTGAGGTATAATCCATACTGAAAGCTGTAGTCTTTGCTCTTCATCTGTAAAATTTAAATGTACACAGGCCCATTCTCTCACCTTTAGCCACTCCCCACCACCCATCTTTCAGTGGAGGCCTGGGCGTTGTTATGATGCTAATAGGGTTGCAGTGGGGCTTTTAGACTAAGATAGACTAGAAAGAAAGGCCTGGTGATCTACTTCCGAAAATTAGCCAGTGAAAACCCTGTGAAACAGTCGTCTGGTCTGCAATCAATCATGGGGATGGCACAGGACCAGACAGCATTTGTTTTCACTGTGCACGGGGTCACCATGAGTGGGGGCAACTTGAGGGCAGTTAATAACAACACACATCTCACAGCAATTGCTTTCTGCCAGGAGTAATGGGTTTCTGCGTGGATGAGCATCTACTCTGCGGAACAACAATCAGCAAACACTTAAGCTTAACTATGTCTCCTGAATACAAATAGGAAATGAAATAACTAAGCACTTGGGATAGTTAATGGAAAATTCAATATAGATTAAAGTCCACAGAGATAGGATTATCTGCTTCTTCAAGAAAAAGCAACTCCACAGAAGTGCTAAAGTAAAAAAAAAAAAAGAAAAAGAAAAATTCTTCCACCAATTTTCAGAGAGAGATGAGCATAAATAGAGATTTTTGTTTTATTTTGTTTCTTAAAAAAACAACTTTACTTTTGCCTAATCCTCAACCTGAAATGAAATGTGGAAAAGCTCCTGCTGCCAATATTTCAGCGCTGATATTTTCCTGCCAACAACCACAGTTAGAAATCAGCAAGGTGTGCCTGTTTTGCCAGGAATAATGTTATTTTATCTGTAAATTGTTTCCTTGTGCACATCTCTATTACCTAGGTTCTAATTTTGTTATGCCTGGAATCAGTACTTTGTGGTTAAGAGAGGAAATCAATTACTGTGTTTCTCTGCTGGGTAGCTAAGCACAAAATGTGGTAGGCCAGTTAGAAAAATGTGAAAGTTATATTCTTACCATTTTTAATGTGTGCTATGGTTTGACCCTTTTCTTCCAGTGTTTAGCAAGTTCCTGAACTTGTCAAAGGCTCTCAGAAAAAGTATGGTTGATTTATTGTATTTTATGGCTATTGGGAAATAGCCATACAGGATTTTAGTATCTTTCTCCCCTCTCATAATTTTTGAAATGTATCATTTATTTCCAGTAAATGATTTTGGAAGTCACAAAACCTCAGAACCAAGTAGAAACATAAAGCTTACCCAGTCCCCATCTACAACATGCTCATAAATTCAAATACACAACAAATGTTTATTGGGCATCTTTTATGCTACATACTAGCCAGTATTTGTGACTCCATAGCATCCATTTCAGAACTTTCATGTTTAAGCACTTTCGAAGTTTTTAGAAAACTCACCTTCCTCATGAAGCAGCCCATCCAGTCAGTTCTACTTTTTAAACTATCTCCTCATTTTGAACCTGAATTTCCTTGCAACTTCCACTCGCTGATTCGAAATCTTCCTTCTGGAGTTACATATGATCACCCTCAGGGTCTAGCCTCTCTTTTTAGGCTGTATAACTTAACAGTCTTTCAAACATTCTTCACTTTCCATGGTTTCCATATTCCTCATCAGTTGAATCACTGTCATATAAAATGGCTTCTGTTGATCAATATTCTTATTTTTTTCTCTAATTAAATTTTTATTGTGATTTAGGTAAAATTTACAGAGTAAATTGATTTCCCATTCAACAGTTCATACACATTTTGTTTCATGACATTAACTGCAATTTCCACAATGTAATAGCACTCTTTCCACTTATTCCCTGTAGTTATCATTTCCTTTTGTCCTTCTTTCCTATCCATTCCTGTTTTCTGGGCTTTATTTCCATGTAAACACTGCCCTTTTGATCTCTTATGTTTGGTTGTTCTAAGGAATGCATACTTCCCTGGTGTTATTGTTCACCTGATAGGATTGTCTTTTGTTTGGCTAAAAGCTGAGCCATCGGAGTGAGTTCAGTCCAACCCTGAAGGGTGCCAAAGGGCCATAGTTTTGGGCATTCCACCAGTCTCAATCAGACCAGTAATTTGATTATGTTGACATTTATCTCCTACTGTATCCAGGATCTCGTACTTTGATCCTTTTCAGAGTGGTTGACAGTGAAAGCCAGATACCATCTAGTTCTTCTGGTCTTAGGATCATGGAGGCTAAAGTTCACATGGTCCACCAGTTCTTTAGACTAATTTTTTCCATATGTTTTGGATTTTCTCCACTCTTCATTGCTCCAGAAGAGGAAAGACCAATAGTTGCAATTTAGATGGTTGCTCACAAGCTTTTAAGACCTCAGTCACTATTCACCAAAGTAGGATATAGAACAACATCTTTGTGCAGTATGTTATGCCAGTTGACCTTGATGTCCCCATGACTATGGTCCTGAGCTCCCAGGCCCAGTGACCCATACCCTCAAAGTGACTGACTTATTTTATTTAGCATAATGTCCTCCAACTTCATCCACATTATGAGGTGTTTCATGGATTCTTCATTATTTTTCAATGTTATGTAGAATTCCACTGTGTGTATGTACCATAGTTGGTTTATCCATTCATCCATTGATGAGCACTTAGGTTGTTTCCATCTCCTTGTAATGTGAATAGTGCTGTAATGTGTATACCTGTTTATGTCCCAGCTTCACTTCTATAGGAAATATATTTAGTAGTGGGATTGCTGGTTCAAATGGTATTTCTATTTCCAACTCTTTAAGGAAGTACTGTACCATTTTCCAAAGTGGTTACCCCATTTCATATTCCCATCAGCAATGTATCATAGTCCCAATCTCTCACCAGCATTTGTTGTTTTCTGTCTTGTTGAACTGTGTTATTGTTGCTGAGGTGAGATGATATCTCATTGTTGTTTTGATTTGTATCTCTCTAATGGCTAATGATTTCAAGCATTTCTTCAAGTTATTTGTTGGCTGCCCGTATATCTTCTTTGGTCAAGTGTCTTGTTGATGTTCTCTGCCCATTTTTTTAAATGGATTGCTTGTCTTTTTGATGTTGAGGTGTTCTCAAGTTTTCTATAAATTTTAGAGATAAATACCCTGTGGGGTATGTCATTGCCAAATATTTCTTCCCCAATCTGAGTTCCCTTTTTACTCTTTTGGAGAAGTCTTTTGATGCACATAAAAATTCAGTTTCTAGAAGATCTCAGTCACCTACTTTATCTTCTGCTGTTTGTGCATTCATTCTTGGTTGTTTGATAGCCTACTTATGCTATAAATTTGGGCTCCTAAGTTTGCCCCTATTTTTTCTTTGATGATCTTTATAGTTTTAGATTTTACATTTAGGTCATTGATCAACATTGAGTTACTTTTTGCATATGACATGGATTTTGTTTCCTTTTTTGGCAAATGGATATCCAGTTTTGCCACCATCATTTGTTAAAGAGATGGTCTTTTCCCCATTTAATGGAATCTGGCCCTTTGTCAAATATCAGTTGTCTGTAAGTGGATAGATCTATTTCTAAGTTCTCAATTATGTTCTGTCATTATACCAATACCAGGCTGCTTTGACTACCATGGCTGTATAGTAGGTTTTGTGATCTGGAAGTGTGAGACCTCCTATTTTGTTTTGATTCTTCAGTAGGGCTTTGCTTATCTGAGGTCTTTTTCCTTTCCATATAAAATTAGTGATTGGTTTCCCCATCTTCTTAAAAAAAAATGTTGCTGGAATCCAGATCAAGATTGCATTGTATCTGTAGATTGCTTTGGGTAGTACTGACATTTTCACAATGTTCAATCTTCCTATCCCTGGGTATGGTATGTTGTTCCATTTATGTAGGTCTCTTTTAGTTTCTTGTAGTACTGTTTTGTAGTTATCTTTGTATAGGTTTTTCTGTCTCTGATAAGTTTTATTCCTAAGTATTCTATCTTTTTGGTTTTCCTTATAAATATTTTCCTTGTTTTCACTTCAGAGATCTCTTTGGTGATATAGTGTAATATGATTGATTTTTGTGTGTTGATTTTTACACTGTCACTTGGCTGAATCTTTCAATTAGTTCTAGTAGTTTTCCTGCTCAGTTTCTGGGATTTCCTACATACAGGATCATGTCATCTGCAAACAGAGATAGTTTTACTTTTTCTTTACTAATTTGTATGTGTTGTATTTCCCCCTTTCTTGCCTTATTGTTCTAGCTAGGACATCCAATATAATGTGAATAGGACTGGTCATAGAGGGCATCCTTTTCTAGTTTCTATTCACAAAGGAATGTTTTCAGTCTCTCTCTGTTGAGAATAAGGTTGACCATTAGTTTTGCATACATGCCCTTAATTATGCTGAGGAATTTCCCTTCTATTCCTATTTTGCTGAAATTTTTTTTTAATCAGGAATGGTGTTGAATTTTATCAAATGCCTTTTCTGGATCAATAGATATGATCATGTGGTCCTTTTTCTTTGTTTTATTTATGTAGTAGATTACATTGATTATTTTCCTAATGTTGAATCATCCTTGCATAGTTGGTATATGAATCCCACTTGGTCATGTTTTTTCTTTTTTTTTTTGGCAGGGGGATATAGTATTGGATTCTGCTGTCTAGGATTTTGTTGAAGACTCTTGCATCTATGTTAATGAGGATTTTCATCTATAATTTTCTTTTTCAGTGGTGCCTTTGTTTGTCTTTGGTATCAGGTTAATGCTTCCTTCATGAAATGATTTGAGGAATACTCCATCCTTTTCTATGTTCTGGAAAAGGTGGAGTAGATTGATGTCAGCTCTTGTCTGCATGTTTGGTAGTATTCTCCAGTGAAGCCATGTGGGCCAGGACTTTTTTGGGGGGAGTTTTTTATGATCTGTTCAATTTCTTCTTTTGTGATGGGTCTGTTCAAATTTCCTACCTCAGTCTGTGTTTGCTTAGGTAGGTAATGTGAAATTTGTCCATTTCTTCTAGGTTTTCAAATTTGTCTGTGTTTTCCCTGATATTTTTTTGTAGTTTCCTTGAATTCTTGGAAATACATACACACACACATACATACACACAGTCTCTCTCTCTCCCTCTCTTTCTCTCTCCCCCCTTCTCTCTCTCTCTCTATATATATAGAATATATATATATATATATTCTCTATATATACATAGAGAGTTGTTTATATATATATATATATATATATATATATATACACACACACACACACACACACACATATATATATATATATATATATTCTCTCTCTCTCTCTCTCTCTCTCTCTCTCTCTCTCTTCTCTCTCTCTCTCTATATATATACATGGAGAGAGAGAGAGAGAGATCTTTTGAACTCCTTATCAGGTAGTTCTATTATCTGTTCTTCCTTGGTGAGGTTTCCCAGTTTTTTTATTTTGGTCACTTGCTTGTGCTATCATGTCCTGTTTCTTCGTTTGACTAGAAGTTGACTGTTGTTGTCCCTGAGACATTTTGGAGTTGTTTTTATTTATTGATTATGTGTTTTGTGTTTTTTTCCACACTGATTCTTTTGTTTTGCTTTGTTTTGTTCTATTCTGGAAGGTGGGATATTTGGGGTGCAAGTTTGGCAGCACTGGGATGCTCCCAACCTGTGTTCAAGTGGGTGGAGTAACATGGGAATGTGGGTGTGGTTATTCTGTTCACGTTGATTCCCTCCAGATCTGTCCATGCTGCCTGTGTCCCAGTGAGCATTCTATGAAGTTGGTTTCTCCTCACCTGTGTCTGATGCCTTATGTCTCTCAAAATGACCATGTTTCATCAGGACCTGGCTTCTTTTCTCTCTCTAGTCACTATCCTCACTCCATCTCCCTTTCCAATCAGTGCTCAATCTAATTCTTTATCTTCTCATTCGACACTGAGAGTTCAGGATAGTTACCTCTATCTGTTTCCACTTCATTTTTCTGGGTCATGGTTGTAGAGGGATTGGACAGAGTATGTCACCAGGACACCATTTTGTCTCTGCCTCTCCCAACAGGTTCTTTGAATATTATATGATGGGAAGTACAAACAGTTGAGGGAAGTCAGAGGAGCAAGTGACTAGCTCTGCATAGAAGAGTTAGGAAACTCCAGTTTCCACCCTTTAGGTGCTGTCTCCCGTCCTCGTACTGCCCCTCCCCCACCCCCAACCCTTGGCTCCTTTCACAATATCACTGTTAAAGTGATGAGTCATGAACTTAACCTAATACATTTTTCAGGTATGGTCAGTGCTATGGATAATTAAGTGTCTTTCCTTTGACGGCAGTATAACGACTTTTACAATCTGCTTGCTATATTGATAGTTCTTATTCATAGTTCTGACTTATTCTTACATGTCTTATCAAAATGTTTTCCTCAATTTATTGAAAGTTTATATTTAAAATATCAGATTTGCTGCATTATAATTTATGTGGTCAAACGACTAAAACTTCAGTAAATGGAAAAACACAATTTTTCATTTTATTCCTATAACTAGTCTACTTGGCTATTTGAGAAGTGAGCTGATTTGGTAGGAACAGGATGAGCTTTAAGCTAGACAGACCTAGGTTTGATTGCCAACTCTATTGCCTGCCAGGAAACTCCTTGTCCCAAGATTCTCTGAACCCCATGCCCTCATACATAAAATGAGAGTAATAATATCTGATTTATAGTTGTTACACAAATGAAAAACTATCTCTGTTGGTACAGTGGTTGCTAACAAAATGTTGGTGCTTTGAATCCACCAGTTACTACATGAGAGATGAGGCAGTCTGCTTGACATAAAGATTTACAGCCTTGGAAACCTTATGGGGCAGTTCTGCTCTGTCCTATAGGGTCACTATGAGTCAGAATCAATTCTATGGTAGTAGGTTTGGTTTCAGTTTTTTGATACAATAAAAAGGGACTTTATATGTAAAATGCCTAACATGGTGCTTATAACTGAAAAGAATAGGTCTTAAAAAATATTTAATTTCCCCCATCCACTTTATCCTGGATAACTAAAAAATTATTTATTATTAGCTGTACTCAATGATTTTATGGAGAATATTACATATGTGACTGTATCATCAATTATAAAAAGGCATACACACCTTGCTCTTTTTCACTGAGTATGGATACTAGATTTCCTCCAAATGCTATGCAAGTCTTTCGTGCTTCTTGCCAATTTTTTCTTTCTTCTTCAACAAATCCTGAGATTTTGTAACACTGAAATGGAAGAAAAATATAAATACACACACACACACACACACACATTCGGGTTACTAAAAACGATAGAGTTTACTCTAAAAAGAATCTCAAAAAAGTCACGAAGATTATAGCTAAATAGAAAATTTCCCATAACCAAATAAGTTGTTGTCATTATTGTTTTAGTTGTTAGTTTTAAGATACACAAAATTTCTTGACAACATTTTATGGATCACATTGTCTCTTGGGATGAATGGTGCCTCTATTAGGATGCTATCTTCTAGTACGCTCTCAATTTCAGAGAATGTGTCTTGTGAATCTCCACCTACTCTATCCCCCAAAATTTCCAAAGTGATGAGGTAAACAAAAAGCAACTTTGAGCTGAAAGATTTGCACTGCCACTCTCCATACTGATTGATGTCCAGACTGCAACTACTTCTCCTAGTTACCTTGTTATTGTAAAATTTCCAACCTTCCCCACAACCACCTTTGGCTGGGGGTGTGGTAGGAAGAATTGTAGCATTGACAGTGATATTATGCCTCTGGCAAATGAAGGCATGTGGATAACCACAATTAACATCATTCCAAAGTCCTGGAAAAGAGCAGAATAGTTACATTAGATTTACATGTTTAAGTTTAGAAATACTCTTTAAAAATATAAATTTTTATATTTTGTAAGGACTCTCAAAAATTGATTAGACTACAATCTTCTACATGTGTTACTTGAAGAATTTATGCAATATCCCTCTCTTCTTTCTTGTAAACTAAAAATAGCAAAACTTAGTACAGCACTTTCTGTGAAACAAGTATATACTTGCTGTTTCAGATATACTATCTAAATAGTTAATAGTAGGCTAAAAATACCTAAATTTTATAGTTAGCAAACATCTGCTTGGTGTTTTAGGTGTATTATCTCATTTAATTTCTCAACAGCAGAAGAGATGAGATATGTTCTATTATCATTCCCATTTTATAGCTAAGGAGTTGGAGAGAGAAATGGAAAGAGATAGATAAGCATATTCAATGTATTTTCCTCAAACAAGAAAATGAAAACCATGTTTCAAAAATATGAGAAGACTGAATACATCACGTATTAGAATAAATGTTAAACATCTCCTTCTCTTTACATTTGAACAGTTACGCTGCTAACATTAGAATTCTTATTTATTCTCTCCTTTACTTGCCTGATGTAAGAACACAGCTTGCTAATTTTAGCCTAGGGATGTAGAAAATGGCACATCACACCACAAGGCAAATTCAAAAATTTCTTTATGTTGTTTACCTGAATTTGAATACATGGTAACACAGTTTTCATCATCATTTGCAAAATTGGGTTCACCTGTGGCCCATGCCACATAATCCACTAGGCTTCCATCCATCCAACTGGAAAAGAAAATGCAGGTATTTGGATCAATCCAATTGTTAGAATAATTGGCTACTATCTACTGGGGAGGAACGGGCATGTTTATAAAGAAGAAGGAAACACAGGGTGGTAACAGAACAGAAGAGGAGGATCTAGGAAGACTGTCAGGAAAACAACCCAATTCCTTGCTTCTTGGTGCTTCTTTTCTCACTGTGCTCCTTTGCAGCAACCCTGATGCCTTGGCTAGTTTGGCTTCTTTTCCCTCCTGTTCCTATCTTTATTCCTAAATTGGGAAATAGCAAAAAGCAATAGAAAATCCCAGTTCTGCTTTGGAAGTGGGCCAGAAGCAAAAAATCTTTCCACAGTATTCTTCAGGTGTGATTTGCACAAAACTAAACCACCCAAAGAGAGGCAGAGAATCTAGAAATTCTCATGAGACCCATTCACTCATTTTCAAGTTTACTCTGGATTCACCCCAGTTATGTGGACCAAGACTTATTTTCTTAAGTTCTAGAAATTCGGAGACTTTACTAGCTGGAAGGGGACCTAGAGATCACCTAATTTGGCCCTTTTTCTTTTGTTGGCAAGAAAATGAGTGCTTGTCTAAAAAGCATCAAGCATTTCTGTTCTTTAAAAATAATAAGCTGGATCCTCAGCCTATATGACTATGAGACCAGAACTAGATGGTGCCCAGCTACCAGTGTCAACCACTCAGAGAGGGATCTATGTAGGAGATCCTGGAGAGAGGGAGAGAAAAATATGAAACAAAACTCAAAATCATAAAAAAAAAAAAAAAAAAAGGACCAGGCTCGCTGGTCTGATTGAGACTCTTGGAACTCTGAGACTATGGTCCCTAGCTGCCCTTCGGGTCTGGAATTGAACTCACTCCTATGGCTCCCAGCCAAACAAAAGACAGGGATATGAGCTGAACATTTACATTAGGTAGATATACTCCTCAGAGAGATTAATCATGGGAGAATAGAAGGGCAATTTATGCACAGGGAGACCGCTGGGCAGGGGGCTGGAGAGAGGAGTGAATGGAGGGAAGGATACAGGGAAGAAGGAGGTAACTACAGGGACGAAGTGGGAACAAAGCCATTGCATTGTGGGAAATTACACTCAATGTCATGAGAGAAAGTGTATGTGAACTGCTGTATGGAAAATGAATTTGCTCTGTAAACTTTCACCCAAACCACAATAAAAATTAATAATAATAATAGGCAGAAGTTTAGGTTTTCAATGCTCCAAAATGGTAATGATAGTCACATGAAACATATGTGACTAAAGCATCTGTCCACAAGCCAGGTATACATATCTGCTCTTCAAATTCAGGAAACCATATGTACTAATGAACAAGGAAAGAAATACAAAAAAGTATTTATTTTTTTCCTCCCAAAGCCTTCCCTAGCACCTGTGTCTAATAGAAAACAGTATAGTCCTTTGAAGGGAAAGATTTCATGCAGTCGAAAGAGTACTTCAAAATAATATTGTTCGAGTAGCAAGTAAGGCAACATGAAAGGATCATTTGGTCTATGTACCAAAGTTCTTACAAATAAGAATCATAATTTATACAATGAATCCAGTATTCATGTCTGTCTAATCCATTTTCTTATGGATAATTTACTAACAGATGAGGATATCCTAAAACACAGACAGGTAAAGTTTTACAAGATGAAATCAAATTTTTAGTATTTTACTTGAAAATTAGAAAGTCCAAATGTTTAATAGGATTATTTTAAATTATTTTTTTAAATGCCTTGTATATTGAGAGCCATGTAGGATTATTTTAAACAAATTTAGCCAAAATAAAAACTCTTAAAATATTTATTAGATCACTGTTCTAAGCAAAGTTGTATTGATTTACTTACGAAAACTTTTTATCCAAGCTGATCAATAAGCCAATAAAATATGCTGACTGGGCATCATTCCTGTTGACCTAAAACATATATAGTTCAACTTACTTATACATAATATGCAAATTATTATGAAAATCTACATAATAATAAGGCAGAACTGAAGAAGGATTCAAGGACCCCTGGTAGCATACTGGTTACTCACTCAGTTCCTAACTGGCTACTAACCCAAGGGTCATAAGATCAAAATCACCAACAGCTCCATGGGAGAAAAGGTGTGGCCCATAAACATTTCAGAGTAGGAAACCCTATGGGGCTGTTCTACTCTGTCAAATAGGGTGGTTTTGACTCAGAATACAATTGACCTAACAATACCTAAGAACAATACTTAAGAATACAACACAAGAAGTGACTCATGTGGGAGTTAAGTTGCATATTTTAAATTATTTTTTTCATAGGAAAAATGATATACACAATTTAACAACCTTCATCAACTTTACAGTAAATTCATTAAGCCATTCTCTACCATTTCAAATGCCTATAGTAATTAGCATATTGGAGATATAATAAAGTAGCCAGTTGGCAAAACTCATCTAAGGAAAGTCTCTGTCTCTTTCTCTCTCTCTCTCTCTCAGATTTCAAAGCAAGATATACCTACCAAGAAGACTACATTCATCTACTTTTGACTATCCTTCACCTGTGTAATCAAAAGAACTTTCATTTTTTCAGTGTTGCTCAACTTATATTTTGTTGTTCTCCCTCTTACTCTCTGGCAAATGGTAAGGATGCCATGAAGATTTTGAAAGTGAAAGATACCAAGCCAATCACTCTTAGAAAAAATAAATTATATTTTCACTGTTAACTGACAATTTTGGTACAACCAAGAAGGATTAAGGATTTTTAGATGAATAACCCAGCTATAGTACTTGTTAGGGAGCTCTGGTAGCGTAGTGCCTAAGGCACTTGACTGCTAACCAGAAGGCTGGTGGTTCAAACCACCAGCCACTCCTCAGGAGGAAGATGGGGCAATTTACTTCCGTAGTGATACTGCCTCGGAAACCCAAGGAGGGGTCACTATGAGTCAGGTCCGACTCGACGGCATATAACAACAACAGTACTTGTTAGCCAATAATTTTGTCCAACAAAGGCAGCCTTTTTTTTTTTTTAAATTAAGTAACACTTTACTTAAAGGATCCAGGATAACATTCTAACAGCTAGTTAGGAGTTATAATCTTTGAAAGTCACATTACTGGATACGAAGACATCACATATGGATCATCACTAAGCTCAGACTAAACTCTGTTTCTGGGTTCCAGGATTATGCACTAAGTATTCCAGAATTACAGTCATTTACTTTTTGTCAAGCCAACATTCTCCCTCCTCCACACCTCACCACCCTCCCACCTCCAGCATTCACATCTTTACCCCTGTCCTTAGAAGGTTTAAATTCAGCACATTGAAATTGTACATGGGCATCAGTCTTAGACATTATCTTTGCTTATCACATATCACTATTCCATTCTTAAATGAATCATGTTCTTACATATTTCCATAGAAACTTTTTTTCACTTTCACTTTTAATAGAAGCAAGATCACCATAATTCTTCTTGCAGAATACTCGTGCATTGTCCATGTTTTCCTTCTCTTTGCTAATATAATACTGGTTTTCTTTGTAAATAACCCACCCATCATCAGTGACTAGTGGATCTGAAAAATAAATGTGAAAAAGTGATACACTTTACTTATAAGAATTCAAGTATTTGGAATGTGGGATACACAAAATGACAAGAACATAGTAGCTTTGTCAGAGGCAATTTCAACTCTGAGAGCGCAGAATATGCAGACTGTTCATACAATACATATTGAATAACCTGAGGACAAATATCCACTGTCTACCAATCCTGTAAAAAGTACCACTTTCTCTTCCCAAGTAAATACCATATATCATTACTGGTTACTTTTATCAATTAGACAGTGCGTCTGAAAGAATTTACATACATGCACTCATAATGTTCTAGGTCCAAGAATAGAAATGATGAGAAAAAGGATTTTTGCCCAGTATAAGAAAGAACTTTCTAAAGCTGCACTAGAATGCTTCAGTGTACAATGGGAGTGCCAGGGAATACAAGTATCAGGAGAGCACCTAAGGCTTCTTCCAAACAATGGGATTCAATGGTGGCCCTAGTGCCTAAGGCATTTTGACTGCTAACCAGAAGGCTGGTGGTTCAAACCCACCAGCCACTCCCTGGAAGGAAGATTGGGCGATCTACTTCTGTAGAGATACCACCTCAGAAACCCAAGGAGAAGTCACTATGAGTAGCAATCGACTCAAGGGCAGTGAAAGTCAGATGCTAAAGAAGAAGAAACCTTATAATCACATATCCCTGGGGTACTATAGTCACATGCCTTGTGTTTGTATATTTGAGCTCTCTGAAGAAGAAGACCTGAGCTTTCGTGAGATTCTCAAAGATATTAAGAACTACCGACCTCTACCATTCTGTCCCAAGTAACTTTCACTGAGAAAGGAAAAAGAGCAAAAGTCTTTAAATATGGAGATCAGAAAATAAAGAAACACCTACTGTCTTGGGGAGCTGGTGTTGGCTCAGGTTTTGGTATTTGTCCTGTAAAACAAAAGAAAACAAATATAGCATATGCTTAAACTTCTGCTTTTTGAACACAACAAGTTGGAAAAGAAAAAGAAAGAAAAGAATGTTAGTTTTAGAATCAGAAATCCTGGGTTCAAGTGCTAACCTTAATTTTGTCAACTGCTAAGAAAAGGATTTTTAACAGGTATAAATATGTGAAGTAAAATATGCGTGATTGATATTTGTAGATACCTAATAGACATTAAAAGGAGATCTGGTGATGTAATGCCCAAGGCATTTGACTGCTAACCAGAAGACTGGCAGTTCAAACTCACCAGCCACTCTTTGGAAGGAAAGTTGGGCAATGTACTTCCATAGTGATACCACCTCGGAAACCCAAGAACGGGTAGCTATGGGTCGGATCTAACGCAATGGCAGCCAGTTTGGTTTTCTTGGTTTAATAGATGTTAAAGGAACCCATCAGCCACTCCTTGGAAGGAAGGTTGGGCAATCTACTTCCGTAGTGAAACTGCCTCGGCAACCCAAGGAGGGGTCTCTGTGAGTCGGGTCTGGCTCGACGGCACATAACAACAGCAACAACAAAAGAATGCTGGCGGTGCAGTGGTTAAAGCATTTGGCTGCTAACCAAAAAGGTAAGGGGTCCAATCCACCAGCCTCTCCATGGGAGAAAGATAAGGCAATCAGCTTCAGTAATGATTCATAACCTTGGAAATCCTATGGGGCAGTTCTACTCTGTCCTAGAGGTTCTCTAAGAGTTTGAATGGGACTAGATGGCAGTGGGTTTCTGGGTTTTTCATTTTTTTTTTTTTTTAATAGATGTTAGTTTTATAATATATATAATGTTGTTGTTGTTATGTGCCGTCGAGTCGGCCCCGACTCATAGCGACCCCTCCTTGGGTTTCCGAGGCAGTATCGCTACGGAAGTAGGATTGCCCAACCTTCCTTCAGAGGTGTGGCTGGTGGGTTTGAACCGCCAGTATAATATATATAATAGATGTTAGTTTTATAATAGTGGCTAAGACACTTGCCTGCTAACCAGACGACTGGCGGTTCAAACCCACCAGCCACACCTCGGAAAGAAGGTTGGGCAATCCTACTTCCTTAGTGATACTGCCTCGGAAACCCAAGGAGGGGTCGCTATGAGTCGGATTTGACTCGACAGCACATAACAACAACAACAACAAGTTTTCCAATAGACTGTACAAATATTTGAGTATAAGCAGCTGTGAAAGTATTTATAATTTCATTATTTAAAACTATTAAATATGGACTACTTATTTATAAAATATAAAATATATTTTCCTCCAAAGATACTACTTTTACTAATTGTATACTTCATAAAAATTAAACATAACATTTTTCTTTCCAGGTAGTTAATTATATACCTGTACTTTGTTGGAATCTGATAAAGGGCTCAGGTTACCTAGTTTTTGGTCAAATGTATTTAATATCCTGTAGTAGTAGCATAATTACTAAAAGTGGCATAGTGCCTAAGACGCTTAACCATAAGGCTGGTGGCTCGAACCCACCAGCCACTCCTTGGAAGGAAGGTTGGGCAATCTACTTGCATAGTGATACTGCCTCAGAAACCCAAAGAGGGGTCACTATGAGTTGGATCCAACTGGACGGTAGTGAGTTTGGTTTTTTAGTCACTGATGGCTTGAAGACCTTTAAAAAACTTACCACCTTGAATAAAAACTCAAAATCATAAAAAAAAAAAAAAAAAAGATCAGGCTTACTGGTCTAGTGAAGACAGGTAGAACCCTTGAGACTATGGCCCTTAGACACCCTTCAAGCTAGGAACTGAACTTAACCCCCATGACTTAACTGTCAGCCAAATGATAGATATGCCTATAAAGTGAACCCTAAAATCAGGAGGGTATGCTCTCATTAAAACAATCAACAATAGGAGATCAAGAGGACAGTATTAGCCCAGGGATAGAGCTAAGAAGGGAGAGGGGATGGGAAAGAAGAATGGAGGGCAGGTGTAGGCACAGGGAGGAAGTTGGAAGAGTGCTGTTACATTGTGGGGATTGCAGTAAATGTCACAAAACAGAATGTGTATAGATTGTTGAATGGAAAACTGATTTGCTCTGTAAACTTTCACCCAAATAATCCTCATCACCATCGTCACAAACTTGCTACCTTTTACTTCTCTATTGTGAGGAATGCATTTTGAAAGCACTACTTTAGGCAGAAGGAGTAAGGAAAATAGGGGCCTAAACAGCAGGAGATCAAGTCAGTATCTCTAGCAGACTTGATGCCATTGGCAAGACTCCCCAACACAAGAGGGCAGTGCAGTTCCATTATCTGTCTGCAGAGGAGAAAGTTGTATATTTTGGTTTAAGGGTTGGTGTGTTTGTTTGCTTACTTTCCTACTTTCTTATCTATCTCTTTAGCTAGTCAGCTACCTAGCTATCTAACTAAGCATAAGAGCTTGGATCCTGTGACTCTAACGCTTATTTGACTATGTAGGGTCTTCTGAGTCACAGATCAAGATTGATAGCATGTGTTGTTATTTTTTTGATCCTCAATAACATGAGGGGCTTAAAAATGTGCTTGTTCTTTGTGTTGAACATTTGCTTGAGAAATTAATATTTAGAATATTCGTTTTCAGGAAACATTGCTTATTTGGTAATGCAGAAGATGAGAAAGTGAAATTTAAAAACAAAACAAAACAAAAAAGCTCTATTTTCACTGCTCTGCTTATGAAGTAGAACACTTCCTCCTGCTCCCACTCCTTACTCTAGAACCTGAGCCTGAATCACAGCTCATGAGAACTATTTAGGAGGACGTGCCTTTCATCCCGGATTCCCGGGTGGCCTTTTGATCTTCTGTTCTTTTGGAACATTTATCTGTACTCAGTGACTTCATTCTTATCTTGTGAAATGATAGACCCTAGCAGTTCCCTTATTTTTTATTTTGTTTGTTTGGTTTCACTAATAAAGGGAAGATATAGAGGTGCCAGGAGTTTAGTTCTCCAACCCAGGATAAAGGAAAGGAAAGTTATCATACCTTTCCGTATATGGCAAATCCAGTTGTTAAGATTTTCACAGTTAATATCATTCCAGAACATGCCAGGGTCACCTTTCAACTCACCACAAAATTCAACATTTTGATAATTATTAGGTTCTCCATAAGCCCAATGTTCATATGAAACCTACATTAGAAACATTAAATCACAATCATTTACAATTTACGTCAAGCCAGTGTCACTCATCTGTCCAAACAGGAAAGGAACGATATGTTTGCACTTTTATCCATTTACTTTTTTTCATGATAACTTTGCTTTGAAAGCAAGGTTTACAGACACATGAGTGGGAAACAAATAGATTTGGTTACGAAGAAACTTTTGAAGTTAAACAGAGTATGCTGCTGATTTACTTTACTTTCATTAAATACAATGGATTCAGGAACATGAAAGCTAGAATTATATGTAGGAAAGACCTGAGAAAAAAGCTCCACTCTTCTGTATTGGGGGTTCCTATGTACACAACCCATTCTTAAGGGATAACATTTCAGTGTGCTGTTGCAAGTTTTCTCTTTGTAAGAAAATGCAAATAGCTCTTCTTACAGAATAAAAAGAGCTATGAAATATTTTTAACTAGGCTATCAAACCACCACTCATCTGTCAGTTTGTCATACTGTGGTGGCTTGTGTGTTCCTGTGATGCTGGAAGCTATGATACCGATATTTCAAATACCAAGCAGGGTCACCCATGGTAGACAGGTGTGAGGAACGTCCAACTAAGACAGACTAGGAAGAAGGACATAGTGGTCCTTATACAGTGCCAGAAAACCTTATGAATAGGAATGAAACATTGCCTGACATAGCACCGGAAGATGAGCCCCTCAGGACAGAAGATACACAAAACATAATTGAGGAAGAGCTGCCTTGTGAAAGTAGAGTCTACTTTAATGATATGGCTGGAGTAAAGTTTTGGGGAAGCTCACTTGCTGTTGTGGGATAACAAAATGAGAAAAACTAATTGTAAACCTTCATTAATAATCAGAACATGGAATGTACAAATATGAATCTAGGAAAACTGGAAGTTGTCAAAAATGAAATGGAACACACAAAGATCAATATCATAGGTATTAGCAAACTAAAATGGACTGGTATTGGCTATTTTGAATCAGATGATCATATGGTCTACTATGCCGGCAATGAAAAATTGAAGAACAATGGCATAACATTCATTGTCAAAAAGAACATTCCAAGATCTGTCCTGAAGTACAATGCTGTTAGTAATAGGATGATATTCATATGCCTACAAGGAAAACCAGTTAATACTATTTATTATTCAAATTTACATGTTGCTGTTGTTGTTATGTGATGTCAAGTCGGACCCGACATAGCGACCCCTCCTTGGATTTCCGAGGCAGTATCACTACCGAAGTAGGATTGCCCAACCTTCCTTCCAAGGAGTGGCTGGTGGGTTTGAACTGCCAGCCTTCTGGTTAGGAGTCAAGTGCCTTAGGCACTATGCTACCAGAGCTCCCTGGTAAAGTAGAGGGTCAGCTAAAAAGGAGAAGACCCTTAATGGCATGACTGGCACAGTGGATACCCTGATGGACTCAGGCATAGCCAATGATTGTGAGGATGGCACAGGACTGGGAAGTGTTTCACTCTGTTGTGCATAGGGTCCCTATGACTCAGAATCAACTCAACAGCACCTAACAACAACAGTAATAACAAGCTATCAAACTTTACCATAATCAACAATGGAAATAAATGCAGACCCTGAATTTAGGCACCTTGGTGGCACAGTGGTTAAAGCACTTGGCTGCTAACCAAAAGGCGAGTGGTTTGAACCTACCAGCCTCTTCATGGTAGAAAGATGTGGCTATTTGCTTCTGTAAAGATTTACAGAAGCATTGGAAACCCTATGGAGCAGTTCTACTCTGTCCTGTAGGGTCACTATGAGTCAGAATTAACTCAATGGCAGTGGGTTTACATAATTTTCAATGCTGCAACCATAGCCCACAGGGTTTTAGGTTGAGCATTATGATCTGTTTTCCAGAAACTAAAATATAAAATGCAAATATTGATGAAGCCATCTAATACACCATCTTACCCAAGTGCCTTGAAAAGTTGCAGGTAGGTTTTAAGAGGAAGTAGAACTGAAATTACATCCAATTGTTTCCTGTGATGACTTGAGCTGCTACATGTTGCTAGCCTTTGCCAGAGTCTTTCCTCCATTCTACAGAATGGAGAAGCCTAACAAAGCCTAACAGTTATTAATGAAGTATGAAAAATTGCATCCAGGTCCACTGATCTATGAGATGCTAGAAAACGCTAAATTTTACAAAATTTTAACTACTTGCATTCCCATTTTGCAGCATAGAATGAAGATCTTATATAAATATGAGTTTTCATTCTAAATATTTTTTAGTCCCTTCAATCATGCTGGAAAGATATTCCTTGGATGATTAGGGTAACCAAACTGGGCCAGAGGTAGAACAAAAAAATAGCTTTTTTTTTGCATAGAAAAAGTGTTTCTAGCTATCATAATGAATAGTCCTACTACATATTTGGATGAAATCAAATCATAACCTCAAAAGAAATACAGGATAAAATAAGAACATATATTACATCAAATTACTCACAGGAGAGCCATCAGTCCAAGTAAAGCCCTCTGAAGGACTTCCGTATGTCAGTCCCAACCAAAACAGTTCATGGTAATTTGAACTACTCCTACAATGCACAAGACACAAGGAAAAAACAGGTCATTTCATGAAACAAGTTTTGTAACCTGAGAGGACTAACCAATCCATAAATTTATTAGTACACAAGATAAGACATATAAATGACTAAATAAAAGCATTATGCAATACATGTGCATGTGTCTACAGCCCATGAGCAACAGTTCAAGAATAAATAATTTTAAAGCATTGAGAGTTGGTCATTCATTTACTCCTTTAATAAATATATATTGTATATTTTGTATTTTACAGACCAATTCATTGCTGGATTTATGCCTATGAAAGTAAGCATGTGGAAGTGAAACTAGGTAAGAAAGGGCCCATAAATTTGGGATATGATGCAGATACTGACATTAGCATCATGAAGAATTTTAGAAACTTAAGAACACTCTCATAATCATTTGCACCAAATCAGCAAAATAAAGAAATATTATAAAGAAAGAATACTTACGTTATTAACCTCCATATGGCTTGCTGTTCCTCTTTATTATTGATGCTAGCTAGATCTCCACCCAGGGCTCGACAAAAATCTCGAGACTCAAACCATGTTTTCTTTTCATGTTTTCCTTTTGTAAAAAGCTAAAAATGATATGATTTCAATAGTTATTTTACACTTCATAATTTATCTAATCAAGAAAAGCAATTACTTTTGATGAAATTTCACTTACAGAAAAGCAAGAAATTTCAATGCGCCAAGATATTGTAATTCTCTTAATTTAAAATAAACTTATGAGTACATATCTGGGTAACAAAACTTGGAAAGTGGTTTTGTTGAGAAAATCTTTAGAAAAAAATAATTTAGCAGAGGAGAAGGTAGATTAAAATTTTAGAAAATTTACACATATGGGGTAGTCTCATTGTAGAAGACAGAATTAATTAGGGTAAGTGTGAAAACTGGTATCAATCTGGACAAAATAAAAGAAACTTTTAGTACAGAGAAATTAAATATGAATGAGGAGAAATTTAAGGAAAATGAACTCTCCAAAACTGTGCCGGAGTTTGCTACTGTGTTTCACTTAAGCAATGCTTTGTTGGTAATCAGTTGCTGTTGAGTCAATTCTAACTCATGGCAACCCTGTTTGTCAGAGAAGAACTGTGCTCCACAAGGTTTTTAACATTTGATTTTTAAAGGTAGATCACCAACACTTTCTTCTCAGGCATCTATGGGTGGACTCTAACCTCCAAGCTTTCGGTTAATAGGTGAATGCTATTAATAACTCAGTGCACCACCCAGAGACTTCAGTTTGTTGGTGAACCCTAACCCACTGCCATTGAGTCGATTCCAACTCATAGCAAACCTGTAGGACAGACAAAAACTGCCCACAGGATTTCCAAAGCTGTAAATCTATATGGAAGCAGACTACTTCACCTTTTCCCATGGAGAAGCCGTTGGCTTCAAACTGTGGATCTTCTGGTTAGCATCCAGATGTTTTAATGACTGAGAGCTCTTTAATAACCATAGCTCCTTGGTTTTCTTATGTTGTTGTTGTTACGTACCGTGGAGTTGGACCCGACTCATAGAAACCCTTCCTTGGGTTTCCGAGGCAGTATCACTAAGGAAGTAGATTGCCCAACCTACCTTCTGATGAGTGGCTGGTGGGTTTGAAACTCCAGCCTTCTGGTTAGCAGTCAAGTGCCTTAGGCACTGTGCTACCAGAGCTCCCCAGTTTACTTATAGTGTCCTACAAAAATGCCTTGTCTTTTTTTCCCCTTGTTGTTGTTGTTGTTGTTAAGTGCCGTCGAGTCGTTTCCCACTCATAGTGACCCCATGCACAGCAGAACGAAACACTGCTCAATCCCGTGCCAGCCCCACAATCCCTGCTATACTTGAGCCCATCATCACAGCCACCGTATCAATCCATCTCCTTGAAGGCCTCCCCCTCTTTTGTCGACCCTCCACCCTACCAAGCATGACATCCTTCTCCAGGGAATGGTCCCTTCTTACAACGTGACCAAAATAGGTGAGACGAAG